TCTCTCTCTCTCTCTCTCTCTCTCTCTCTCTCTCTCTCTTCGTGGAATTAAAATACCTTTGAGAAGGAGAAAATTAACACTCGCGCAACTCTCTCTCGCTCTCTCTTATTCGAATGTGCGAAGCCGCGGGCTCCGAAAGGACCTAGGACGTCCCGCAACGGCATTCCCGCGAAGACAGCGGAATGTCCTGTCGCTGACAATCCCTTCCTGCCATCCCCGCGGCACGTTGGCGCGTTATAATAATACCGGCCGGGCGTTCCGTTCCGTTCTTATTCCGTTCCGTAACGCATCGTACGTATTTCGCATCGTCCTTTTTCCGACGCGCGGCCAAGACAATGGGATTCTACGTGGCGCCGCGGGCACGGGGCGCGGTGTTATTAAAAATTCACTCCCCCCCTCCCACCCCCACCTTAGCGCGGCTGAAGTGGCCTCTGGCAATCTGCATCTCATTCCCGGTGGGCCCTTGTGCCATCAGGTGGCTGGCAGCCACCGGCAGCGTGCGGGCGGAAAAGGGTGGAAGAAAACTTGAGCGTCGTGTCGCGACGCGACGCGAAGCGAGGCTAGGCGAAACGAGGCGAGGAGCTCGCGCGTCGAGGGGTGGCCGGCAGTTTCGCGGGACGCGACGTCTCTCTCGCGGCCAGCGCGTTTGCCGAACAAAAAGAGAAGATCTTACACCCAATTACACGCGGCGTTTAACTAAATAAAGACTCGCCTCTGTTCGTCTGGCCTCTCGACCGCGGTTCCTCTCTTCCGCCCCGTCCTGCAACGCGACTCTATACGCAGGGCCTAGAATCCTTTTATTAGACTGTCCGCAGCAATGGGCTGTCTCTCTTTGTCGTGCCTCAGAACGATCCCCAGTTTTGGTGGAACGACGTGTACGCGCGAAGCAGTTCGCTTAATTTAGTTTTCATTATTATTACTTCATTGGAAAGTCAAGGTCAAGTATTCCCTTTGCTAAAAAAAATCTTATTCTTAGCGGATATATAGTATATTCTTTCACATAGCTTGAAGAAGATTGCTCTAGAATCAAAAGAGGAAAATATTCTAACATCAAAGAAAAGAATTCTAGTTGCAGCGTGCTGTTTTCTGCAATTCTATATTCCGAGCGAAAATTCTTACCGAAAAAATATTTCTCTTCTGTTGAAGTGAACTGTTAATCGGAAATCTACTAAATATTGTTCTAAATTCTCTCCCTTTTAAAGCAAGAAAAATATGTTTACATGAAGCAGAATACTCTCTTCTATAAAGAAATTTCAATTAACAACAAAATTCATATTGTGATTAAACTAAAATAAAAAGACTAAATTCCTAATTTTAAAAAGATTGTGCTTAGGATTTTTTTTATATTTCTCTTTTGGTTTTAAAAAAATCTTTTTAAATTCATATATAAGAAAATATCCTTTAAGAACAAAATTATATTTTTTTGAGTATTCTCTTTCTTTTTTAACACCAGAATGCTCAGAGACGAACTTCCTTTGGATGTCCGAAAGGGTTATTTTGACTTCTGATATCTTCAAACTCTCTGCTCTTCATCATTGATGATTTATAAATAGATTAAGAATATAATTTGTAAAATATAAATATTTGTTATTGCAAACAAATTACAATTTTTATATTTTTAAGCTTATAATTTCCTATAGTAAAATGCTTCATATTTATTGCTTAATTGTTTACTATAATTAGTATAGAAAGGCTAGAGCATAATAAAATATAAATAAACCTATAATAAAATATAAATTGGGCATTCTATAATTGAAGAGCCGTATCGCTTAAAAATTTATTTTTATCTCATTATGCACTATGAGTTTTCTCTTTCTCAATCTCTCTTTCACTTTCTCTCTTCCTCTCTCTCGATTCCGTTTTAATCGCTCGACGTTCCTACGGCATGCATCAACGACACCGTGATCCCGTTTGCACAAACGCGAACTCCTTTCCGCAGGCTCTCTCTCTCTCTCTCTCTCTCTCTCTCTCTC